GAGAGAGAGAGAGAGAGAGAGAGAGAGAGAGAGAGAGAGAGAGAGAGAGAGAGAGAGAGAGAGAGAGAGGTGGGGCAGGGGGGGAGATGGTGGTCATCCACGCTCTTGGCTGATGAGCTCCACTGCCTTGCATGTGCTCCTCGTTCCCTGTCTGTCACTCTCCCCTTCCCTCCAGGTACAGTTATGGGGATGGTGACCTAGGATGGCAACCCCAGATGGCGAGGTCTGCGTGGTGGTGTGACAAGAAGACGACCATGTGTGAGAACGGCCGTACCAGGGGTAACAGCATCTCTGGGGTTCGAAGTGCGAACTTCGAATTTGAAGTTGGAAGTTCCCCCCCAAAAACATTTGTGGGCCTTTGCACAGCCCCAAAATAATTCGCGAGCCATTTCCCCCGTATGCCGCTTTGAGTGGGCGCACCCCATGCGCGTGTGCCTCGCGCTGCATGAGCTCAAGTTGCGTGCACTCGCTGCACTGCAAGTATGGTTCATACCAAAATCAAGAGCTAGGGGGCCACAGGACGGATGTCTTTCCCGACCAGCGAACACAGGGACACAGGCATCCGGATTCTAGCAGCACCCATTTAGCCACGGGTGCGGCACTTTGAACATTGAGCAGACAATCGGGAAAGGCAACGGAGAGAAGAAAAGAAGTTACACTGTTACAGATAATATCATTGTATTTTGGTCGTCAGTGCATGGGTGCATGGGTGCATGGGTGCATGGGTGCATGGGTGCATGGGTGGGTGCGTGTGTGCTCATGCATCCACGTAGATGTGTGTGGAAGGACATAAAAGTTAGCCTCAGCACAGAAACTGCTGAAACAATACCTCAGGAGGAAAACAAGCATTTGAATGAGTCAACTCATAAGTTTAAACATTCCTACTGCAGACCAGGTTGGACGTGCGGAAGACAGAAAAAAATACAAGTGCACGCAGGGTTGCACCTGCCGGTCGAGGGTCCCCAATAACCCCACCAACACCCCCATACCTGCTCCCAATACCTCCATACACACCCCCAGCACCCCCGCAACACCCCCAAACCGCTCCCAACAACCGCCCCCAATACCCCTTTAGCACCCCTATACTCCCCTATAAAATACAGCGAAGCGTGCACGTGGTTAAATACAGCAAAGCGTGCAGCACGGAATGGCGAAGGCATAGTGGGGCGGGCAGGCTGGTACGTGGCGAGCACACAGTGTGGTGCTCAGCATGGTATACAGTGGCCAGCACCAAGCAAGGCAAGCGGTTGGGCAGACAGGCAGCAGAGCGGACACAGAACAACACAGCATGGCACACACAGCACATAAGCCAGCAAGACAGGGCACTCAGGGAGGCAGGGCATGCACGCAACAACACAGCAAGGCACCCAGCACGAGTGAAAGTCGACACGCCACGGCACGCGGGAAGTCAAGGAGTACACCAACAACAACTCAAGAACCCATAGATGCAGCAAGGATTGGAATGGGCTATCCACCTACTCACATCATAATGGAAAACTCTGCAGGCTGCAGGTTCACGCCACCATCAGGCACAAGATGACCTCCTGTATGTGGAAATGCAGAAACACAGGGATATTGAACACAGCAGCCCCAGGCACTTCATACTAGCAGGTGTGGACTATTTGACACTAAGGAGAAGACAGACAGGGAACAGACAAACAAAAAGACAATGTGTGTGTGTGTGTGTGTGTGTGTGTGTGTGTGTGTGTGTGTGTGTGTGTGAAACACACACATATATCAACCTCAGCACAGTCTAAGACCATGCCTCGAGTCAAGTTAACGGACAATCCTTGAAAGTAGGATTGCAGGTCCATCTGATGTACAAAAGACAGAAAAGAAAAAAGAAAGTACAAAACAGAAAGACAGAGAAACGACACAAGGCAGCGAGGCACGGAAGACAATGAAGAAAGGAGCATAAGCTGGAGAGTGCAGGGGAGGAGAATAGGCAAACAGCACAAGGCAGTGAATGAAAAAGCCAACAAGCCAGAAAGTAGCTAGGCAAAAGAACAACAGGCAAGAAATGTATAAGTCAGAAAAAAAGAGTGCGAGTGAGCTGCACACACGCAGCGCATAGCGCACGTGAACGCATGTGCCCGCATGTGATGCGACGCACCCCAACAAATGGGGTCGATTAAAAAAATCAGAAAGGGCAGGGTCGGCAGGCTGTGATAGCCAAACGTGCCTCCAAAAAATTCTAAGTGCAAAGACAAAAAAGAATAAAAATGGGTGCCGCATCGTACTACTCGTTGGATCCAGTGACTCCAGTCTCTTTTCCGAAGGGCCCCCAGCAAGAGAATCAGAAAGGGTCCCATTTCTCAACGGAGAAGTCCATTGGATTTCGGGTGAGACAGGAGCAGGCCAGCAATATATGTTCTGGATTTGCACATTAATTTTGGTGAGTAGTGGAGCGAAGCCCTGAGAATCATGTGCTGAATTAGTAACCCATAACTGCTGAAACACGATCTGAATTCGAATCCACACTACATATAGTTGGCCTGCTAATGCTCTGCTATAACCAACGATTGCCTCTTACTTGGCGAGGAGACCCTTGCTAATTATCTGCAGGGGCCTTTCGGATTACCCGCAGGGGTTTTCTGATTTATGTGAAAAGTCTCTCTCTCTCTCTCTCTCTCTCTCTCTCTCTCTCTCTCTCTCTCTCTCTCTCTCTCTCTCTCTCTCTCTCT